AGTTACGCAAGCCCCTTCGCCACGACAAGGCAGTGATCCATGAAGGGGAAGAATCTTGCTACTTGAAGTCAAAACATTTTCTCCAGTGCCTTGCAGAGACTTGTTCAGCTGGTTCATGTGATGAAAGATGTCAGCTAAGTATGCTAGTTTCTGCAGCCATTCTCCATCTTCAAAGCACTCAGAAAATGTGAAATACTATTTTCTCAAAAATACTCTTGCAATTCCGCTGTCAGATCAAACACCCTGCTGAGAACTCTTTTCTCTGCTGAGCCACGGTATTTCTGTGTGTAACAGGAGACTTATGTGCTATTTGTCCAGGTTTTCACACACTTTTTAAAACATTCTTGAGTGAACTGGTCTTAGTTTAATAAAGTTAACCATTTTTGTAGCATCATCTAGAAATTTTCTCATTTCATCTCCAAGAGTTTTTGACACCAACACCACTCTGTGAAGAAAGCTGTGTGTTGTGATAACATCAGGATTTTCTTTTCTTACAAGAGAAATGAAACCTCCCATGTAGCCAACCATTGATGGAGCACCATCAGTACAGATGCTAACACAGTTCCTCCAGGACAGACTTTTTGTCTCCAGATATAAAGACAAAACATTAAATACATCTTGGCTTTTGCATGTTTCATGTAGATCTTTGCAGCAGAAAAAGTTTTCTTGAATTTCACCATCATTTACAAATCTTACAGATGCCATAACATGACATTTATTGGTAAAATGTGTTGATCAACTTGGATAGAAAAGCTGCTGTTCTTCAGTTTATCACACAAACCCTCTTCAGTATCATGTGACATGTCATCAATACGCCGACTTATTGTGCTGTTTGACAGTGAAACCTTTTCCATTTCTTGTACTGCATCTGGTCCTAGCATTTTTCCCACTATTATTTTACATGCTGGCATGATTACTTTCTCACCCAAAGCATGACTTTTCCTTTGCTGTGTAATAAGTTCTGCTACTAAATAACTTGCTTCTTGGAGTTTTTACTGACTATCATTTTACTAACAAAATATGTTTGTTCTGTGATTTCAATAGCCATTTCAAATAATCCGACCTTTTACTTGTCATATGGCTGTAATTTGTAGTTTAACTGTGCTGAAGCCATTTCATTTGTAAGTTGTTTGCCACAGATGAGGCACAATGGAATAGGACAACTTGGCTCACCAATCCACGTAAAACCCATTGATAAACAGCTTTCATTGTAAAGATGGACTTTTTTTTGAGTCCATTGATTACCAGTGCAGGGAAATGCCTGAGCAGATTTAAATTCTTCATTATTATCATCATTAAACTTATTGGTATTGTCCATTTTAGAATCCTCCTTTTCTCTCTCACACTTCCTCTTCAGAAATTGCCACATTGGACCTTCAGATGTGACTGAATAAACGTGTACAAAATTTATTTAAAATAATAGGATAAAATAACTGCAGGGAAACTGCAGGGAAAAGATGCAGGAGGGAGAGACTAACGTCACAAGACTAAGTTGGACGAGTCCATTAACTCCTTGAAAAATGCACTTCTCCCTTGCCTTCCTTCAATATATTCCTCCTTTCCTGCAATATATTTTTCCCTTTCTGCAATATAGTGTTCACCTGTTGTCAACAGTCTCCCCTATCTCATGTCAAAAATTAAGAATGGATTCAACCAAATAAACATAGTCCTACAGCATACCACCAGAAAGATCAGAAAGTTGTAACTAGATTTTTGCTCAGTCTCTGCTCATCACCGCAAGAATGTGTTGCCCACATTTGAAATATTTTTTAAAATAAATCATTATCTCCCAGGGAACCCCTAGCGACCTGTCGTGGAACCCTAGGATTCCACAGAACCCTGGTTGAGAAACCCTGCTTTAAATTTTACACAAAAACCAACTAGTTGCCAGTGCAGTATTCATAGCGCAGATGTAACCTGCACCCAGCATCAGGCAGCCAGTTGCCATATGGAACTGTAGTTTCCTAGTAAAGACAGTCCTGTATAGATTGCATTGCACTAGTAATGAATTATTGTAGCCAGATAAGTAGTAATGCAGTAGTAATGAATTACCTTTCACCAGATAAGGTCATAGTTGATGCACCAGCTGGAGTTGAGCAAACATCCCTCTAGCCACAGCTTCCACCTGCTCAAGCAGGAGCCAAGAGTCCAGAAAGCCTCCCAAATTGCAAAACTGCTCCTTCAGAGGTAGTGCTTGTCCATCCAGAGTTTGTTCATTTAAAAAATTTGTATGGCTACCCATCTAAAAACTCAGGTCTGGGTGGCTCACAACAACAATAAAACCCAGAACTATAAAAACCATAAAACCAATACAACTCGCCACCTCAGTCATCCCCTTGGGATGCCCCATAACCAATTCCAGACATCCTCGCTCTACCCCAGTACCTGGGTAATAGGCCAGGTTTTGATGGCCTTCCAAAAGGCTAAAACGGGGGGGGGGGGGACTACCAAATCACCAAAGGGAGCTTGTTCCGTAAGGTAGGGGCAGCCACAGAACAGGCATGCTTCCGAGGTCCCACTAGATGGCAAGATTTCAGGCTAGGGACCTGGAGTGTACCTACCCTATCTAATCTGGTATTAATAGAGAACCTTAATGTACAAACACTATTTCCATTTTCCTTGGGTTTAACTTCAGTCTGTTCTCTCCCATCGAGGTACCAGCATATCCTTGATACCACATTCCAAACTGTCTGATTACCTCTCCCAGTGGCTTCATAAAGATGTTAAAAAGTAGGGGAGAGAGGATCAACCCCTACGGCACTCCACAAGATAAGCGGCCATTGAGCTGACTTCCCCCACTACCACTGACTAAAACCACCCATTGAGGATGGAGTGGAAATACTGCAGAACAGGGCTCTGATCCCCATCCCTAGCTGGTTGATGGTATCAAAAGCTGTTGAGAATTCTAAACAGACCAGGAGGTCTATTCACTATCCCCATCCAGTTCCTGACAGAGCTCATCAGTTGAGTGACCAATGCTATCTCAGTCCCAAACCTACAAAGGGTCCAGATAATGCACTTTATCTAGGAGTGCTTCACAGCTGTTCCACCATCACTGTCTTAAGCATCTTTCCCAGAAAGGGAAAAATTTGAGACTAGGCATTATGGACCATGGACTATCTGAAATCAACTATGAAAAGAGAGCCCAAGAGGTTGATCTTCCACATCTGATCCAGTCCTTCTACCTTTAACTAAAACATGATTCCATACTGGCTTACAGGTCTAATCCTCCCTCCAAAATAAAAATACTAACAAAATTGGATAATTGTATATGAGTGTTGCTTTTACTCTTAGCATAACATTTGTATTTTCTGGTTGCGGATTCTTTTAGCACAGTATTTCTTATTACATCCGTGTATGTGTTCAAACAGGTGGATGAGCTAATGCGCCAGGAACTGAAGAATCTAAAATTAGCTGTGGATAGAGAGACAGAGAAAACAGGGAAAAAAGGGAAAAAAGGAAAGGTAAATAGAACATGCTATTATATTATGAGTAGAATAAATAATTGACTAAGAGTCAATATAGTAACTATTGATCCTATCTTACATAAATGTCTTCCAGAGTGGTTGCGTTCCTCACTGACATGATGGGCTCATTGAAGGGACAATAGGAGAGTGATTAGTAGAGTCTTTGGGATGTGAATGTCTTACTCCTAATTCCTCACTCATCCCCAAGCGGGTCGTTAAGTGCTGACATTTATGGGGTCCCCTCTAACCAACTTTCTAGACTGAAGAAGCTGCTTGGAGAAGCAGCGAAACGTATCACACCAAAAGAAAAGAAGTCCAGTTGCCATTACTCAACCTCTATGTAAGGAAGGTTGCTTACATGTTTCATTGCCTGGAAGAATAGACTACATGTATGAATATTAATTGCATGAATAAGTTGTCTGTAGCAACATTTGGACTATAGCATGAACTGGTAATGAAAACTGGAGTAAGAGTAAGTTTATTATTGTAACCACAGGTCATAACATAGAGCATATCATAAAATAAAGTAAATTAACAGTGGAAAACAAGATTATAAAGTGAGTAATAGATGAATAGGTGATTTATGCTAAAACAGGGTTTATAGGACTTACTTGGTCTGGCTTGTAGGTCAAATTCTCTGACACAAGCCATCCAACTAAGTTAGAGTTTTCACAATCATTACTGTTCCATCTCTGACTCAGTGAGGGGCAGCACGAGATGGTAGAATGAATTAGTAGTTGAGCTATCCTAAAGTTGAATGAAGGATGCCTGCGTGGTGTTTTCACAATTGATGAATTAATGAAAGACATAAAAATATCGAGTATCACATTAATAGTATACAGTTTTAATGCAGAAAGAAACATGCATTTAGTATAATACAGTATCAGAAGCTGGGGAACATGAAATACATGTAAACAAAATAAAAACAGTTCTTCTTATTTGTATGAGGAGGTGGCCTCATCATAGAAGTCTCTAAAATTATTGTACTGGGATGAAAATTTTTGCCACATGTGGAAGTATTACCTTTGCAAAGTATTTCCATTTATGATCTTCAGAAAAAGAAAAAAGGAAAAAAAGGTGGAAAAAAGAAAAAGTCGAAGAAAGATAAAGATCTGACATCTGACCGGTAAAGATGCACTTGCTCCTCTGAGATTCACACTGATAAATGTCTGAACCTATTAACTCCAATTCTTTGGCTATTATGGAGAATCTAACACCGGATTCTTTTTAAATGTCTAATAATACAGAAAGAAATTTAAATAAGGGCGTGTTGAATTTGCAGAAAGTTTATTTTAGGTTATATGTACAATAGTTTCTGTGAGTTTTCTTCATATGCATCAGATGTACATTTAATTTTATTCCAGATAGCAAGTGAGAAACCCCTGGTAGTTTCAGATATATATTTGAATTTTCCATCTATTTTTAAGATTCTTGAAATAGGATATGAACTGGTCCTTCCATAAGAGCTAAACATTTTCTTTGTTTTATTCCTAGAGTCTGATTGTGGGAAATTTAGGATGGGTAATGTTGGTGACAGAAAATTCAAGCATAATAGATAGATGTTGCTATAGTACCTTAGTTAATCACTTAAATTTCCTACTTCCCTTCAGAACTGAATATATGTATCAGTAGTGCAATTACCACAAAGCTTTATAATAGTGGTATTGTGTATTATCTTATTTGAAAATGTGGTGGCCAGTCTCCTTCATTTGATGTCCTGCCTGACCATTGTGCCAAATGGGATATTGGATATCTGCCCAAGAATTGTGGCCTGAAAGCACCACTGTTTATGTTCCTTTGAATTTTCCAAATCACCCAAATGGCAGGACCAAATGTTAAATTCAATTTTCTACAAAAAATCCTAACCCTACTGATATGTAAAATCTGAGTAGAGTCTTAGCCCTTGCCCATTGCATCCCAAACTACAATTTCCAACATTCCCTTTAAGTACATAAAAATGCTCCTATAGGTCATTTGCATGAATAATTAAGTGCAATTGAACTATATTATAGTTTGTACCTTACTCCAAGAAAAGACATTTTTACCACAGAGTTGCTTCCAGAAGTCTGTGATTCACAAACTCTTTCTAAAAAACAAACAGTTCATAAATTCTGAATGGCACTGAAATGCAGTAGTATATTAAGAATAGCCCTGAAATAATATGATAATGTGCATATGGTAGAGGCTTGAATCACAGATGTATTTGAAACAGTGACTCCATATGTAAATAATAGTTGATTCTGAATTGTAATTTGGATTGTGCTTTTTGACCCTACTTCAGAGCTAACATGCATAGGATTGCTTCATTTTTCAATATACTACAATAATGCTAAATAAACATGTATGCTTTTGTAGTATTTAAGCCCTGCAGATGGAGAGGTATGGCAGTTACAATAAGTGCATAATGGCAAGCTTTCATTAAAATTATGAATAATGAAGATACTATTAAATATAAAAATATTTTTAGGCAAGAACATTTAAAGGGGACATCTAATTTATGAGAACAAATTAGAGAAAATATATGGCTTTGTCTACAGATATGGTTGTGTATCTTACTCTCTATTTCTGCATAGGACTATTGATTCTCTTTACCAAGAGCTGGTAAAAGAAGGAATATTAGTAAGAAGTAAGAAAGTAAAACTCAGCGATTATGTTGGTAAAGTATAAACTTTATGTGTTAATACAGACCACATATTTATTTTGGATTTACATTATGTAATGTATAATATTGGACTTAAACGTTTGTGACAGAGTTGGCAATGAATAAATGAACTATAACACCAGTAATTTTAATTTCAGATAAAAGTTACTGATAATCAGCATCTTGGTGACAGAAAATGCAGATTAAAATAAATTCAGATGACTGTCTCTTCAGGATTTTGGCTGCAGTTTATACTCTGTATGTTTTTTAATTTTAGTAAATTGTTCTTCCTGAGAGTAGCAGACCCCAAACAGGATTAAAGGCTGATACAGTAACATAGTATTCATGGTCTTAACTTAAATATCTAGTATTCTGTAATAATAATAGAGAATACCAAAGATAAGGTTTTTAAGATGTTTGTAAGTAACTGGGCCACCCCACTTCCACAGCTGTTAAATAAATAAAAGTAGAAAAACTTGAAAAGCACAGGGGAGGAGTAGCACCAGGACAAACTGAATGTTCTTCACAGGTTGTTGAGTGATCTTTAAATATAGCTAGCAGGCTAATTTGCCATATAATTACTCACAGTAAGTCTTATTCAGTTCTCTTGCCTTGGTGCAAGAGCAGTTGAATATTTCAATAGAGCATATTTCTGAGTGAATTTAGGATAGATAATAGCAGGAACAGCACAAACATGCACACACAAAGTGCTTTGTACTCATTATTATAGTGGCATTTATGACAACCGTGTAAGTTTAGCTAGTATTCCTATCTCCAAATTTCAAGTAGTCCAAAAGTTAATGCCTTGCAACAGCTTTCCACACTTTGGAGAATTACAATTATGAACTTAAACATTACTGTATGTCAAGCACCTTCTGATTCTATAACACATACTTCAATATTGGGTAATAGCTCAGCTACCAGGCTTTTTCCCAAGTGAGTAAGCAATTCATGCTGCATTCTGGTTGTGCTTCTGTGCTTTGTCATTTCGTTTATATATGTACAGTATTGGTACAGTGTGTTTTAGAATTGTTACTTAGCATTCCATGATAAAATAGGGCTATGCAGTGCTTCAGATTTAATTCAAAAAGATAATTAGGGGTGTTATATAGCATGTTCAACTTTTTAAAGCAGTAGTGCTTTTCCTCAGGAATTCATCCATCCATCCATCCATCCATCCATCCATCCATCCATCCATCCAATTTGTCAAGTAGTGCCTTTCCTCAGGATGCAGCAACTGTGTGATCCCATGAAAAAGCATAGCTGTTTTAAAGAGTTGTTAAGCATATGCTATGTTGGTGCTCCCATGTGCACCGAAGGGCCATTTCAGAATCATATCCGAAGCATAGCATAGTCCTAATAGGCAGTGCTACTTTAAAGTTATTGGTTATGCTTGTTTTTGGTTTTGGCAAGTCTCTTAATTGTGTTAAATATCTGGTACTTTATCTGGGATAACAGTAACTTTCACTACAGGTAGTCCTCATTTACCAACAGTAATTGAGACCTGGAACACCATCCCTGTGCAATGTCACATGACCGCATCAACTCACATGACAGCAGTTCTGGCAGTCCCAGTTGCTGTTGTTAGGTGAATCCTGCATGGTTGCAGCGTCTTGCTGTGACATTATCACCATTTGTGACCTCCTGCTGGCTTCCCCATTGATTTTGCTTGGCCACCAAGTGCCCAAATTGCAATCACATGACTGTGGGGATGCCAGAACAGCTGCAACTACAAAGACTTATCATAAATACTCCTCGTTCAATGCCATCATAACTTTGAACAGTCGTTGAATGAGTGGACGTTAAGCAAGGACTACCTGTATTAGCTAGCACTTCAGCATGGAAGTCTAGAACCTGTGTTTATTTCTCTTTCATATTAGTGGGGTAGACTACCCACAATGGAGGAATGGTTGGTGAAGATGATGGAACTTGCAGAGATGGCTAAATTAACTTCTTTGATTAGAGAAAAAAATATCTACATTTATGGCTGACTGGAAACCCCTTACAGACTTTTTGGAGGAAACAGAAAAAATGCACTTATGATTTGTGGTTTTGATGATTAGAAAAAAATTGGATAATAGAAAAAAGTGAGCTTTTTTTGTAATCCAAATTAAGAATTAATTTTGTAATTGTACTTGTATTTGCTGCAAAAGAAATTGAAAGCTTCTTTCTTTTCCTTTTTGTTCTCTTTTTACTTCTTTTCTTTCTTTGCTCTTTTTACTCTTCATTAGTTTATATTAGTTTTTATGTTCTTTGTAAAATCTTTAATAAAATTTGTTTAAAAAAAGAGAATGTGTTCCAAGATAATATAACCAGCTGTTAGGGTGGAAAATATTATATTTATGTTCCTAACAGGTTTTAATTTTTGAAACTAAGTTTTTTGTATTACATGTTTGTTTCTTCTTTGTAGGTGAGTACAGCTATCTGGGGACTACACTTCGACAGGTGGATGTAGAACCAATGCCTTCTCTTACAGATGTGAAGCAGCTTATAGCACTGTATGGAATATTGCCATTAGGTAAGATCATCATCACTGGCCAGAGGGCAGAATACCGTGCTTGGTTTCCTGATAGCCTCATATTTTTACTACCTATGACAATATTTAATTTATTTCTCTTGAAATAATTCTATACAGTTCTTATCTCATGAGGTACTCTCAATTGAGACAACATGATTTTAATAGTATAGTTTAATTTTAAAAAAAGTCTTAACTACTACTTTTTTATTTTATTTCCATCATAACAGTTTGGCAGCTGCAGCATATCCAACAAAGCCACTTAGGGAAAATAATAGCAAATTTAATCTCCAATATTTAAATAAAGTTTGAAGAAAGGCTGAGATTTTAATGTAAACCAGCTAACATATAAACGAGCTAACTTTTCCCCTTTTCCCTTTATTTAGAAAGATATACTTCTAGAAGAGATAATATCAATAAGTGGACAAAGAAAATTTCTCATGTTATACAATTAATGCTTAATATACATTAATAAATGATAAAACATACCAGGCAAAGTACATTGAATTGTTTTTGTGACAGACAGACAGATATAAAAAGTATAAATCTTTAAGCTTAGTGCCAAATCCCCATTGTATTATTATTTATGCATACTGAGCTCTCTGGAGAAGGCTCTAATACTGGGAAAGGTGAAAGGAAAGAGAACAAGAAGACAACCAGCAGCAAGGTGGATAGATTCAGTTACAGTGGTGATGGGGTTGCTGTTGGAAGACCTGAAGGACAAGGTTAGGGACAGATCGTCATGGAGAATATCGATGTGGCCACTAAGAGTCGACAACAACTTGATGGCACGTAATCAAAAAAAAAAGAAAGGGAAAAAAACTACTAAACTAATATAGATAAGTATTTAACTTCTGACTTCCCCCTTCTTCTTTGTGCTCCAACCAATTTACAGTAGTTATTAACATAAACTTTAGAAACCATACTCTGAGTGTTTATATTTGCCTTGCTACATGATATATGTTTGGAAACTATTCTTGCTTAAATTTAACAGAAGTTTAAAAATAAACTTCTATTATGTATATATATACAGGTAGTCCTCACTTACTGACCACTTGTTCAGTGACCATTCAAAGTTGTGACAGCGCTGAACAAGTAGTACTTATGAGCAGTCCTCGAAATTCTGATTGTTACACCACCCCCACAGTCATGTGATGGCCATTTGTGACCTTCTCTGCCAACTTCCCACAAGCAAACTCAACGGGGAAGCTGGCAGGGAAGGTTGCAAGTCGTTCTGGTAAGTCTCCCTAGCCTCCCTGCACTCATGCATTGTGGTGCCCTGCTTCCCCTGGCCTCCCTTCACTTGTGCAGCATAGCACCCTGCTTGCCCTGGCCTCCCTTCACTCACACGCTGCCCTGCTTCCCCAGCCTCCCTTCACTCATATGGCATAGCGCCCTGTTTACCCTGGCCTCCCTACATTCACACAGCACCATGCCCTCCTTCCCCTGGCCCCCCTTCTCTCAGATACTGTCAGATTCAGCCCAAGAACAACAGCAAGACAGTCCAGAACAGTTTAGCTCCTTTATTAGCTTACACCTAATAGACAGAATCTCACCAGACTAAACCTGTACCACAACAACAGTCACTATAACCATGAGGCCCCTAGGGAGGGGCCAGTCTCATTCTCTTGGCTTTCCCACACTCCGGCTAGGAAGTGCTTCCCCTGGAATCTCTCCCCCCTCCTGGCAACCTTGAAGCTCCATTCCAGAACCTTCCTTGCTCATGCCTTCCATCACACATACAGCCTGCGCTGAGTTTCCCCATCCCCTCAGCACCCCCCCCATGACATACCCATATTTCTTACCTGGGACTCCCACTGCTTCCCTCTTAATCATCTGCGTGTCTTGGGGTTACAACAACAACCAGGACTGCCAGAATAGTCACTAAGTGATGTGGTCAGGTGGCATCACACTTTACATCCGCATCACTTAGCAACTGCAGTCCCAGTCCCAATTGCCATCGTAACCCGAGGACTATCTGTACTGTCAGTTTTGCCATTGCTGCATATTCTCCAAGTTCAAGTTCCCAATCAGAGATTTTCCAATGTTATACAAAGTTTGTCCTCGCAGTTGTGAGCATGTATCTTAATAAATTATGGTATCTTTTATTGATATGTTCTGGAATTGTGCCTAGTAAAAAGAGCTGTGGTTTCATTTAAAATTTGATTTTTAAGAGTCTCTGAATAGTGCTATGTATGTCTTTCCAGTACTTCTGGGGCGTTTTTTGCATATCCACCACATATGGTAGAATGTTCCTTCTGTCTCGTGGCATTTCCAACATTTAATGCTGTAAGATTTCTCTATTTTGGCAATTACTGATGGAGTTGTATGCCATCTATAAAACATTTTATACCAGTATTCTCTTAAATTATAGCTTGGAGTACAAAATCTATTTTATAGATTTATTCCATAATTCTTGCCCTTGTTGTGTGGGGACTATTTCTTTAACATTTTGCATCCAATTTATCATACATTTTTTAATTTGTCCTGTCTCTATATCATATTTAAGCAGGAATTTATGTATGTACCCTAATAGGTGGCCTTGATTTTGTATGAGCATTTCAAATTCTGTCATTTTTTTTAATGTCCCTGCCTCATTTTTAAGGTCAGATTTTATTCTTCCAACAATTTGTAGGTACGTCTGCCTTCACTAAGTAACTTTTGCTGTGTCTTTAATCTATTCATGGGGTTTGGGTGGACCATATTTGCATATGTAATTACACTTTTCTTCCTGTAATTATCTCCAACATGAAAAGCATTCAGAGGAGAGGCTAATGGTGAAATTGTTGGACTTATTATTTTCCTTTAGGTTTTTGTCCTCATTTGTGCCCTTGTACCATAAGAATCTATGGAGTCCATTAACTAGGCCAGGTTTTTTTAAAATAATTGTTGTTCTTTTTTTTTTTTTAAAGAAAATTACAAAAAATAAACAGAATATTGGAATACAAAAGATAACCAATTGAAAGCAGCCTTGCAGTATTAAAAACAATTAATAAATAACAACAAAATTAAAACTAAACCAAACCAAAAAAGAAAGGAAAGGAAAAAAAGAAAAAGACCCCCCCCCAATTTTAAAGACAGAACTTAACAAATTGCACTATTAAACATCTAACATATATGTTAGACATATAGATGTCACAAAATTTACCTTATAATACTATATTATTATCAAATACAAAATGATTAAAAAATTACCTAAAAATATGGCTGTGTTACTGTAAAATGTCATGAAATCTATATCAAAGAAGAATATATTGCTTCATTCTTTGATATTGCCTTTTCCAGAATGGATAAATTACACATTTCCAAAGACCAATCCTTAATATCTAGAATTAATATCACTTTTCCAATTTCTCAGTATTATTCTTTTAGCTACTCCCATGCCTGGTACAAACATAATTCCTCATAGATAGTCAGATTCCAGAATTTGAGGTATAATTCAGCATCACAATAATATCTTTAACATTTACAGATTTCCCCATGAACCTACTTACGTATATTGAAATACTATTGCAAAGGAATATCAGTAGTTCACAAGACAAAATCATATGGGTCAATGAACCCTTAAATTTTTTACATTTCCAACAGAAAAAATCTGATGTCCATCTTTTTGAGTACATACTTTGGTGAGTCCAATACACTCTAAATACAGTTTTTTGATGAATCAGTGTTAGTCTCAAATACATCAATACCATTTTAACAATTTTAAGGACTTGTAGCCATTGATGGGGCATCATCGGAGATTTCAGTTCTTTAGTCCATGTTTGATGATTCCCAGCAATATCAACTTTAAAAATGATCCTGAACTTTTGGTAAAGATACACTGTGGGTTTAATTTCTGTCATGGATTCCATCAAATAAGAAAGCACTTCAGGTGCCTTTGAAGCAGCCAAGTAATCTGGCCTGTACTTAGCTGCCAAACAGGTTAAGTTGAAGATACTGCCACTCTTGTAAACTAGGAAAACTATATTCAGTTTGAAGTCAGGAAAAATCCTTAAAATAATCATTACGTAACACAGGTAGTCCTCATTTAGTAATCACAATTGGGACCAGCAACTCGATTATTAAGCAAAGTGGTCATTAAGTGAAACACCACAATTTTACAATCTTACTTCAGCTTTCCTTTGCTTTACAGAGCTGCAAAGGTCGTAAATGCAAGGACTGGTCAAAAAGTTACTTTTTCATCATCATAACTGCAAACGATCACTAAAGGAAGCAGTTGCTAAATGAGGTTTATCTGTAACTGATTTAAAGTCACTATCCCAGCTGCCACTGGTACTTTTTACCACCTGTTTTTAAAGTAGAGTTAAATATTTGGGAGTGTCAATATCAAAACCCAATCTACACTCCAGTAAGGCCCAAAGATTTCTCACAGCCTGCACTCCTGGAAATAAAACACTTTTTCTACTTTACATTGATCCAAGAATTTGCCATGATCATAATGGGAATAAATAATAACTTTCTAATGAAATCTACAGAGGATGATATTCTATTACATTTTCATTCCACATACTTAGGGCTGATAAAATATAAACCCAACTGATATTTTTGCAAGTCCAGTAAATTAAAGCCACTTTCATCAAATGTGTAGCTAATGAAATCCTTGGTGGACTATTAGCCCAAATAAATTTCCTAATCAATCTGAAGAAAATATTTATTTGGAATTAGCATTGGGATGCCTTTGAGACATAAATCAAATGGAGGACAATGTTCATTTTAATAGCATTATTTTTACCCCACAGACTTAATGAAAATTTAATCCATCTATTTACATCCAGATCAATCTTTTCTAAAAGTTTCAACATATTTACTTCCACATATTTAGAAATATTTTTGTGAATATAAAGTCCCAAATATTTCATATACTCAATAGAAAACTCAGCTCTTTACATAATTGTGTTGATATATCAGAGTCTAAAAGAAGTAAGCAATATTTATCCCAATTAATCTTATAGCCAAAATACTTTCTAAATGCTGTACTTCCTATATAAAATTAGGCAGAGAAGTGGAATACTTATCCAAAATTGCTAAAGTATCATCAGCATATAAAAATTATTCATATTCACATCTCACCAAAGTAATAATGTGTGAAGACTGTCTTACAGTAATAGTTAAAGGTTCAAGAATTAAATTAAAAACCTATTTTTTTCACATATTTGGGTGAAAATGGGCAACCCGGCTGAGAAAAGTCTGAAATTATTAAACAATTGAAGTATTTATAGAATTAACCTGGAAGCACTTTTAATTTTACATGTAATTTTAATTTTTACAATACATTACAAATAGTTCTTTTCTTAAAAGTTATACAGTCCTGTATGTTGTTTAAAACGATTGAATAACTTTCTTAGGCGCAGACTCCAGGTTCAAGGAGGCTTTGGTCTCTGATTATATCAATTTACTGTAACTCTCAGTTTTGGAGATTTCAGAAGAGCATATTACTTACCATTATATCTTGTGATACCTGCAGTGACCTACAATATATATAACCTTAGTAGTTTTTGTTTATTTTATTGGTATCTAAATGTTAACATATATATCAGTCTTGATTAAAGCATCCTACAGATGCTTTTTTTAACACTGTTAAGGTAGTATACTGCAAGCTTAGAAAAAAATTAATCATTATCCCAGGAAGATTATATGATGCTATACATTATTGCTTAAATTCTCAATACACATTCAGGAAGAAAAACATGATAATAAATGGGAGACTTCAGTTACCTAGATACTTGAGCCAAGACTGCAAGGTCCCAGATGGTCTTGCTGTCTGTTTCATTTTTTAGAAAGTTGAGGAAGAAACAAGTGGATCAGCAATCCTAATCAATATGGAACCGTTGGTTGAAAAGATCAAAGCACTGGGAACTTTGGAGGAAGCAATCATGTCATCTTGGGAAAGAAAAATAGAACATAGCCATTCGTGCACACCAGTTTTCAGGAGAGCCCATTTCATGTTTAGAAAAGTACTAGGTGGTCAACCAGTCACAGAAATCTTGTTACAGGAAACTTGGGAAAGCCTCAGAAGTACGGAAGTGGAAATGCAGTGACAGACCATTCTAATAAGAAAAAACGAGGACAGCTTAAGAAACTACTCTGAATGCCTGGGGAGCTTTCAACTGAGCTAAGTGTTAAAAAGGCATGTTTAGGAAATGGAAAATGAGTGTATATCAACTGGACGATGGATACTAACAAGTAGTTAATATATGCCAAAAGAAAGTTAGGCTAAAGCACAAAAGAAAGTTAGGCTCACAAAGATAGCTAAAAGCAATTAAAAGGGCTTTTGGAGGCAGCGTTAGTAGAAAACTGAAGAAAAAGGAAGGCATGGGCCCATTGCTAGAAGAAAATGGTAGGGCAGTAAACAGGTTATCAATGCAAAGTGATTCAATTCTTACTTTCAAGTCTTCTGCCCATGGGAAACTCTGTTCAGGTGGAACTAAGCAAAACAGTTGGCAAAACAAAGGGGTGGTAAGAGTTGTTCAAGAATTTCTTCAGGAGGCAGTGAGCTCTCCTTCACTGGTTGTTTTTAAAACAGACTGGATGGCCATCCATTAGTATGCAGTATCAGTAGATTTCTGCACTGGGCATGGAGCTTGCTAAGTGACTTCAAGGGTTCTGTCTGAACTTAACCTTCTATGACTCCAAATAGAGTGTTGTCCCTGTTTGTAACAGCCAGAATCTGTAATTTAAATTGATTATTTCATTTCCTGTACTCTGGGGAGAGAAATAACATGTTTTGGGCTTCTTCCATGTGGCATCTTTCAAATGTCTCAAATTTTAGTATTATTTTCAGACCATCTCTTTAATTAGTCCAAATTGTTTTGAATTTTATTTCTTTCCCTATAAGGTATCAGCTGTCCCATCAGATGATGATGATGATCGTGATCTGGGCACTTGGCAACCAGCTTGCACTTAAATGGTTGCAGAATCCCAGGGTCAGATGATCACCATTCGTGACTTTCCCAGCTGGCCTCCGGCAAGCAAAATTAATGGAGAACTCTCTGATTCACTTAACGACCACATGATTTGCTTAACAACCATGGTGATTCGCTTAACCAATGCAGCAAAAAATGTTGTAAAATCAGGTACAATCATGTGATGCCTCACCTAATTATCACCCTGTTTAACAATGAATTTTCTGGTTCCTATCGTGGTTGTTAAGGTACCCATTATTTCATTCCACTCCCAGTTTAGACCTTCAAGCAGGTTGCCCGAATAAAATGAGCTTAGGATTCAGTTAATTTAAACCAAGAAATACTTAATTGTGGCTAGGTCATTGTAGAGGAAAGATTGGATCTTAGTTTGCTTGCTAAATTGTTTAAAAAATATACTTCAAAAAAAAGCTTGCTTCAGCTCCAGCCTGGAAATGAAAGTCCTCTTTTGATCCGTTCTGTTGCTAAGGCTTTCTCAGTCCCATTGGTTTCTCCCAAGCCCAACACTTGGGCATTACAGTTTGGATTATTAGAAAGAAGCTTTCTTTAAACATACATTTCCAGCAACTTAATTGTACCATTTTACTAATTTCATTCTATAGGTTCTCAATCTGTCCATGAGAAAGCACCTCTGGTGAAAGCCTTGCTCTTGGCTGGCCCTGTAGGAGTAGGGAAAAAAATGCTTATCCATGCTCTCTGCACGGAAACAGGAGCCAACCTGTTCAATTTATCTGCTGCAAATATTGCTGGTAAATATCCTGGCAAGACTGGTCTTCAAATGATGCTTCATATGGTTTTTAAGGTAAGATCCACAAATGTTCCATTTGTATTCACTTACAATATATTTTATGTTCAAGATTTTAGTAGACAATAGATAATTTCTTATGTACTACATCTAATTAGTTATAATTGATAATAATTATAATAACAATGAAAATCTAGATTGTTAAAATAGATTGCAACTCTCAGTGTTCCCTGACTTCCCAAAATCTTTTTACATGTGTGTTTACATTTTGGAATCTTTTTTTCTTTGTCTGATTTAGCCTTCTAGGTTTCAATCCTATGGTCCTTGGGGCATTAGAGCTTCTTGGTTTTCCACATGGGGGGAACAATTTGACCTCAGAAACCTCCTTTGGCTGTGCGGAAGCTTGAGAAGTTTTTGCATCCCTAACAAAAAAATTGAAATTAAAGACAGATCCTAGCCTCCCAACACTCCTCCAAATCAGTTACTAGTCTATGCCAGATTAGGAGCTAGGCTCAGTTAATTGCCTCTAGTTGGTTTCAGTAGAAGGAAGTTATATAGGAAAAAATGGGATGGGGGGGGGATGGCTGGGAAGTTAAAAAAATGTAAGGAGGGGAATACTTCCTTGTTTTTGTCTTGCTGGTTAGAACCCTGTAGGACTTAAAGAAAATTCTCACATCAAATGACTTAGAAACAAGAGTTAGGATTAGCTATACAGATAGTCCTTGTTTAGCGACCACAGTTGGGACTGGCAACTCAGTCGTTAAGCAAAGCTGTTGCTAAGTGAAACTGCAACTGTGCTTACAGTCTTCCTTCAGGTTTCTTTGCTTTACAGACCTGCGAAGGTCAAAAATGGGAGGATTGGTCACAAAGTTATTTTTTCATCACTGTCGTAACTGCAAACAGTCGCTAAATGAATCAGTCGCTACCTATATCACTTCTGCTGTCTTTCATGTTCCTATAGTAAAATACATTGTATAAATAAACATGGATTTTAATGTTTGATTTTAAAAAGTCCTAAAAGGGGACCACATTTCCAATGGGAAACCAGTAGACAGGAAGGATTTATCTCTTTTAAGTGCTCTTCCCTCACAAGCTGGTACAGTATTTCCCCAGCCAGGGATAGATGTAATTTTAGAGTTTTTGCTCCTGCCCACCAATCCTTCAAAATTGGCCAATGTCTAAATTAATATTAATCAGGAAATATGGGGGTGGATGCTGCTGCTTGGTGACATAACATTTATGTTACTGCTAGGTGACATAAGTTACTTGGTGACTTCTTCATGAATCATTCAAAGATACTAGATGAAATTATTAAATTAATTACCAATTCATCTTTCAGATTTTTAAAGTTGTAGCAACAGAACTATTATGCAAATTATAATCAACCCTGCTAATACTTTCTTCCTTCTTTTAACTGGTCAGTAATCTTCCTGTTACATAATCTGCAGGGAGGTGACTGTGGCAGAGAGGGGTCAGAGCTGCCACAGATTTCAACTGTGGCATCCCAGTACATGTGGGAAAAGAGAAGCAAACCAGCCGAAGTGGGGCTGCTCACATGCAGAAATACAACGCTTCTGAATATGCCGGTTAATTAAATTACATCAACATTTGATTATCCAGACGTTCCCAGAGTCTCAAATGAAGGATAGCTCTTTGAGATAAAGGGTGTGTGAGGGGAGGGGATTGTGTAAGAGGTATACTAATTGCCCCTATAATCTCAAGTAGTACAGTTGAGACTTACATTTTACCATGTTAGTGAGAACTAGGCATGATGTCTAACAAAGGGCATATTTCACTGATTATTTTGTATGCAGCAGCAGCCTCGAAAAGCTAAAATGTTTTAGCTGTCAACATGGGAAATATTCCCATACAGAAAATATATTTCTCTTTCAAGGTTCTTTAATCTGTTAAATGCAGATTTTGGACTTGTTATACATACAAATACACATATTTCTCATATATTACATGATTTAACAAGCACTTGCTAAACTATGACAATTTTCAAGCATTTTTGTTATAAATCATGATGATGGTGAAGCAACTGATGATAGTCTAGTTTCTAATTGCTCTTTCAGATGAAGAAATTCTGTTAAATTGATCTCTACAGTATCATAGACTGGCCAGCTTTCTATTCATAAATCAACTATTGGCTGATATTTATTCCATGAGATACAGTTTCAGTGAACAAGAAAACATTGAAATGCTTCAGATGTAACATGGCTGAATGTTTTTCTCCTTGTTTGGAAACTTATTAAAAGTTATCAAGTTCAAAAAAAATGGAGAAAACGTACGTTGAACAGAGTTATTTTTATAATCCAGAAAAATAATTAAAATTGCCATAATATCTAGTTCTCTAAAAGTGCATAATTCTTTAGAGTAGCAATGATTAGGTACTTTAAGATCTTTGAGTTCATACTTAATTCATGCAGTAAAGTTGTTGAACTTCCACTGGCTCTCTTCCTAATGAAAAAAAAGTACCTGAAATGGGTTAGTGCTGTTCCAAATGTGCATAATTTGAAGAGAACACATTGGCAACCTTTCACCACTGAGTCTACCTTCCTGCTCAGTGCAGGCATCTCATCTACAAGCATCCCTGACAGATGGCTCTCTAGCTTCTGCTTGAACACATCCAGTGAAAGGGAATCTCTGGGTAATTGAGTCTACTGTAAAACTGCTCTTGTAAAGTGTTCCAAGTGTGAAACAGAATACGTGTTTTGAGAGGTTTTTCTGAGAGTGAAACAAAACCTGGTGGTTTCAAGAGGCATGGTTTTGAGTGTGCCTCCTGTTATGAACCATGTGTTGTTTTGTGATTTGTATTTAGGCTTCTTGCTTCCATTTTTTTCCAGCCAATCAGTACAGCAGCAGGGGCTAGTCATGCCCTGGCTGCTATTGGTGTAGACTAAATGGTGTGACGTGGGAGTGGAGTGTTGAGGAAAGAAGTAAGTGAGCATATGGCCAGACGAAAGAAGATTGCTTAAAACTGCATACTTGCTACACTGCCAGGTTTTAGCTTTTTTGTGTAATCTTAACTAAGGCAAAGTTAGGGTTCATGCAGGTGGGTGGGTGGATTCTGAGTGTTTTACTATTCCTCATTTTGCAGGCACTATTTCTGTGTGTCTGCATACTAGTTAGTTTTTCATGCAAGAGTTGCTAATGCTAAGGTTATATAAATGTAGATTACTAGTACAACGTTGGTATGCTTGACTTGTTGAACGTTTGTGTGTGTGCGTGCTCTGTGCATTCTCTTGTGTCTTAGAATGTTAATGTTATACCCGTAATTATGAAGTACCACCATCTCCCCTTTTTATTTTTTCCAAATCAACTGAATACTGAAAAAAGTACTGTAAAGGAGCCCAGGACTCTATTGGTCAGTCTGTCAGCAGGATAACACTCTGAAATCAGAACAGAATGGAACCAGATTGGGGGCGGGGGGGGGGGGGGGGAAGTTGGCAAAAGAAAGACTGAGTTTAAAAATGGGCTGCAGAAAAAAAAAATCCAGCATCCTCCAATGCTTCCCTATGGAGCTCAATGGCTCCATTCTAAGTCCCCCTTATCTCCAGGTCATGTGACGTGCAACAATTTTTAAGGGGTTGGAAAGCTGAGCAAGGTTTTCCTAACTTGTTTTCTGTTTTAGTCAGCATGGATTCCTGGGTTGAAGCAAAAACATCAGGAAATGACAAGACACAAAGCACAAGATAGTGCCTGCAGAAAATTGGCCAAGGAGATGATTTCAAAAAATTCAAGACTTAATCTTAACCTTGAATTTATAGGGGAGATATAATAACTTTAACTCCAAACATTGAAGAGTTTAGCTGCTCTCTTTGTTGGCTACGTGATCCGGAGAGATTATTTTAAAAAACGGAAAACAACTCTGTTCTTTTTTTGAAAGGCAGGGGAATGCTTTTTTGATAGCCAACTTTCATTAAATTTCAAGTAGTTGAAACAGAAATGAGTTCCTGTTGTTTCCCATGAGAATTTACTTCAGTATTTTAAAAAATGTTTTAAAATCCAAGCTTTTGGCCAAATTTTATGTAGTTTAGATGGTAGGTATCATTCACCACCCCACATACACTTGCAAGAGAGCACCATTCATTTTTTCCAAAGTGATATTTGGGAGAGGGGCATATTGATCTCTAGCAGAAGAAAATTCCATAAGACTGGGGCATTGGAGAGACTTCCCGAAGACTCTGTTACTGCCGGCCCCCAGGGAGTAGAATTCATCCCTTTCCAGGCAGAACATACAGAACTGAATGATTCTACATGGAGAAGATAGGCCCAAAGGTTGTGAGGCCCAAGCCATAAAATGCTTTATAATTAATGACTATCCTTTGCATTGTACCTAGAAACTTACTGGCAATCAGTCCAATACAGGTAGGTCTCAATTAGTGCAGTTAAATGAATCCCACAAAATGGTCACATTATTCAAATTTACACTATTCGAAGTGGTATTTCTATGGAAAATAGGGTCATTGTTTCCAGGTTGACAGAAATAGGCAATGAAAATTTTTAAACATAAATTTTATATGTTTATTAATGAAATATAATAGTAAAAGGTTAAAAGAATATACTTACAATTTCAATTTATTTTAACAAAGTCACAGTAATTATATAAAGCAAAATAAAAGCAAAAAATTCTAAGTATTCCTACATAGGTAGATCTCATAAATATTTAAAATAAATAGCTAAATCAAGTGAACAAAGGACAAGCTGGAGGATAAACCCATATCCAAAGATGTGATGGAATGTGAGGGTGACCTTGGAAGAGATGCCACCTAGGGCACGATCAGATAAAACAGGAGTCTGCAACAGAATAACGGCCAGAAAAAGAAACTTAGGAAGGACCTACCGTAACTAGTCAGGCAGAAAATAGGGAGGGCAGGAGATTTGTACTTTCAGACTTGCAAGATTCTGTTAATGTAGCCTTACAATAAAGTAGAATTAGCTTATCTAGTCGTGTTTCCTGTCTGATTTACCTGGGAGGGCTGACAAAAGTGTACCTGTTATCTCCTGTACTCTTCAAACTTAGCCTCTTCTTTTTTGAGCTTTCCTCGAACTGA